CTAATCTATAAAACATTCTGCAGAGTGTATTTGCATACGTTGTGCGGGGAAGGTGAATCTTGTGTTATTATTACAGTAAATCATATGGTGATAATACTAGAAGTTTGAGGTTACACCTCAACAGAAACCCGGAACTTCAGAGTACACTGATTTTCTGAAGACCTGTTTACTGATCTGATGTTTAATACTTCCGCCACTGTTATTATTTATTGCACAGTACGTGCCACAGGAGATGGTCAGAGACTATGGACACCCTGCAGTAGATGGTCAGAGACTGCAGACATACTACAGGAGATGGTCAGAGACTGCAGCCATTGGATAATTGGTAATTAATTGATAATTGTTCCAGTGACAACTAAGAGATTTCTCTTACTTTGGAAAGATTTCATCTGACCATGTTGTGTCCAGTGGCGTAACTACCACTGTAGCGACTGACGCGGTCGCTGTGGGGCCTGGGGCAGAGGGGGGCCTGATCAGGAGGCTAGGCCCAGCAGCAGAGGTGGAGGAGGCCAGGGCCCTACAGCATTGGTCTGTCGGAGGAGGAGGCTGGGGCCATGCGGCGGCGGCGGCTCAGGGCTGACAGGTAATAGGAGTTCAGGGAAAGGGACCCCAACCAGCCCACCTGAGACCCTGGAGAGCCCACCATAGAGAGACACAGGTGTGCTTTGCGTGTGGTCTATGGTGGGCTCTACTGGGTCATACCCAGGGGTGCTGTGGTCTCTGGTATGTGCAGGGTCTCAGTTGGGCTCTGTGGGATCTATGGCGGGCTGTGTGGGGTCCCAAGTGGGATCTACAGGGTCTCAGGTGGGCTGTGTGGAGTTTCAGGTGGGCTCTGCAGGGTCTTGGGTGGGCTGTGCGGGGTCTTAGGGGGACCATGCAGGGTCTCAGGTGGGCTGTACAGGATCTATGGTGGGCTCTCCAGGGTCTTGTGTGGGGTCTGCCATCAGAGCCAGCAAAAGCAGAGCTGAAGAGAAGGAGACGGTGCAGCCACGGGAACATGTTCTAGAGGTAGGTACTTTTTTGTTTGGGGGCCCCATACAAAATTTTGCAATGGGGCCCTGTGATTTCTAATTACATCCCTGGTTATGTCTTCAAGAACATTTTCCCAACAAGATGAACATGGTGAAAAAAACTGGCAGGGGTTTGGCTATTTCCTACTCTACAGAATGAAAAAAAACTTTTTTTGACTTTACATACACCTTAAAATCAGAACCTTAACTAAATAGCTCCCTATTGATTCTTGGAGTGGGATTTTCAACGATAAGTCCTCTATGCCATTTATTTTGAAGGACACCTTAGAGGAATATAATGGCTGCCACTGATCGCTGATCCTCCAAACCATGCATGTCAAACACAGATGAAACACTAGGTAGAAATGAGAGGACTAAATGTTCAAGAGGGTCACATTATATCTGCTGTGGGACTCGTCTACTTATTTCCAGAGAAACATTATAACACTTTGGAACTATCATTACAGTAAAAATTTACAATATATAATCCCAGGGAAAGGGGCAAAAAAAACTATTTTCTTAGCTGCAAACTTATGTATGAAATTGTAATTATTCAATTTAACCTTAAACCACTGAAGACCACGCACGGCCCATATAACACCACTTTGACAGACCGGCTCTAAACTAACTAGCAGATTCATGTATGTCTCGGAGTCTCCAATGGAGGAATCAGAAAAAAAAGATGTTACCAGATATCCTGAGATGTGGAAATCCCATGAACAGCTTAACAGAAGCCGAAAATGCTTTGGCAGATAAAACATTAACACATATTTATGTAGTTTAACAGTTTGGCTTTTAAACTTGGAGTTCCAATTTATAATATTTAGTTCCCTAAATTATTCACATAAAAACAAAATCCTGATGTTTTCATGAGTATTAGCTAAATAATCTTCCTATTAAATAAAATAATAATCCATACAGTGATAAAATACTAGATTGTTTTGGGAGTTTATGTGGTATAAGCTGGTTCTTTTTTGGTTGATGATTTCATAACAGTCATATACCAATTAAAGCCATTTTTTAGTCCAGGCCTTATCAATTGACTCCAACCAGTGGGTCTTCAGACCAGGCTAAATTGACTCCAGCCAGTGAGTCTTCACTCCAGGCATACTCTATTAACTCCAACCAGTGAGTATTCACTCGAGGCATACTCTATTAACACCCAAACCATTGAGTCTACACTCTAGGCATACTCTATTAACTCCAACCAGTGGGCAGTTAGACCAGGCTTAATCTATTGACTCCAACCAGTGGGTCTTTATACCACTCTTACTGGACTCTAACCAATGGGTCTTCAAAGCAGGCATAATCAGTTGAATCCAACCAGTCGGTCTTTAGACCAGGCTAAATTGACTCCAACCATTGGGTTTACAGACCTGGCTTAATTTACTCCGACCAGTGGGTCTTCAGTCCACGCATAATCAATTAACTCCAACCAGTGGGTCTTCAGTCTAGGCTTAATCAATTGACTCCAACCAGTGGGTCTTCAGTCCAGGCTTTATTAATTGACTCCAACCAGTGGGTCTTCAGTCCAGGCTTTATTAATTGACTCCAACCAGTGGGTCTTTAGTCCACGTTAAATTCACGCCAACCAGTGGAGCTTCAGACCAGACATAATCAATTAACTCCAACCAGTGGATCTTCAGACCAGGCATAATCAATTAACTCCAACCAGTGGATCTTCAGACCAGGCATAATCAATTGACTTAAACCAGTGGGTCTTCAGACCAGGCATATTGAAATAAAGTAGTATTAAACTTGCAAACCTTTTTTCAATTATAAATCCAGATTAAATAAATATACATCACCCAGCAAAGTATGGCTTTAACATTTTCCCAAGCACTTATAGTCATCAGGTTTTGGAACAGCTCCAAATCTCTCAGCTCCACTTCCCCCACTTCCTGTCCAGTACAAGATCACAAGGGGCAGAGCAGAGTCCATCAGCTGTCCATCTACTAGCTTGGAGAAGGGAGGAAGCATGGGGGAGGGGAGTGGTTTGCCTTGCTGTATCTGTGTGTTTGTGGAGACACACACAGCTTACTAGCACACACAAGAGTGGCTCCGTAGGATCTGCAGGGGAAAGGAGCCACCCGAAAATAGGATATCAGGGTTTGAGGTGTAATAACTTATTTTTCACTCCAGCTTTCTCCATCCATGCGACCGGTCCCCCTGAAGTACATGAAGATGATGAGGGCCCACCACAACCCAGAGCGTCAGAGAGAAGAGAAGAGTGCCACAATGAGGAATAAGGGAAAGTATTACATCATATCCCTCTACTTGTAGACCTAAAGTGGAAGTTCACTCTAAAATTACCCAAAGAACAGGCATATAACACATACACCGTGATAAATGCATAGCGCCATGTTTGACATCTGTCTGTGTACCGGTTGTCCAGCAATCAGCATATGAAATCTGGCAACCATTGAAATGACTAGCGACCCCATGCAACTCATGATGTTGCTTAGCCCCCCCCGCCCCCCATGTTATCTTTGCTTGTGATTACAAATCCTGACTGGCAAACGCTGCTGGTAATTGGCTGGCAGTTTCCAATTTTGGTTGCTGGATAACTAAAGGGTGGATCGATGTCAAACATAGTGCTATGCCTTTATCAATATATATGTGTTACATGGCTATTTCATGTTCATAGAGTAATCCTAAGCTATACATCCACTTTAGAAAGCATTTAACCCTTGCACTGCATGGTGGCGGGCTAATGCAAGGGTAGATTTTGTTTGTAATTCCTTGAGTTCATCTTTAAATAGTTCAATTATTATTGATCTATACATAAGACCAAAAGGCTGGACAACTGAGCCAGAAAGAAGAACAGAGGACATTCCCTCAAAATGAAGGACAGTTGGGAGCTATGCATATGCATGATCCAATTAAATTGGCAGGGGAGCCATAAACTCAGAACAGCTGTGGGCCCACAGCAGTGAGGAAGCTAGACCCGGGGCAAAGGCTCAGATTTGCCCCCCCCCCTCAAGGGAGAAGTTCTTCATCCACACACCCAGTGGCACCCCTCGTAAAGCTGCACTCGGGGCACATGAATGTTCATGTGAGAGTGATTGATTAGCACACTCCCAGGGTGGTGTAGCGAATTTTGGCCAGTGTGCTGCTCCTATACTGATTGGACCGGGGTGTCCAATTGTAAGACTGAACAGGACAAAGAAGAGGGCAGGAGCGCAACAGTTTGGTGCCAGGTGTGTGGATGGTAAGTGATGAGTAAATGTGGATTTGTATATGTGGGGTGGTGAAAGGGGATGTTGAGCACTTACAGTACATGTGATGGGTGGTGTGGTGATGGGACACTTCTGTTGGTGTGGTCGTGGAGTCATGTTTTGGGACTGTGACGTCCTTCCAGTCCCAAAACAAGACTACACGACCACGCCAACAGAAGTGTCCCATTACCACACCACCACTTCACATGTAAGTGCTCAACATCCCCTTTTACCACCCCACATATACACATCCTCATTTATTCATCACTTCCCATCCACACACCTGGCACCAGACTGTTGCGCTCCTGCCCTCTTTTTTTTCCTGTTCACCCGGGGCACATGGCCCCCCAGTAACTTCGGCCCTGGCCCACAGTGAGATTAATACACCCCCGGGCTGTACCACAAGTTAGTTTTGGTATTTGGCCTAGCCTGTAGATACTGCAGGCAGGCAGGAGTATGGAGATTGTGGTCTGGGTTTTGTGACATCAATGGAGAAATCCATGCTACAAAAACCTTCGCCTGGGCCTCTGCATTCTTTTATTTCAAAAAGTCACAAAAACAAAATGTACTTTCCATGACCTACGGGTGCAGCGATCTTACCCCATACCATCCATTACACAAGTCAGTAGTCTGGTGCAGTTTCAGGCACTCCTACATGCTCAGGTCTACCCTTAGAATTTTGGGAGTGATGTCATCGCACAGAGCTGGCTGATTATTGCTACAAGTCACATCCTACTTCTCATACTCGGCTGCCTCTTGACGTGACAGCATAGGCTACTCATCAACAAACTCACACTGGAAACTTCCTCTAAACTCTCTCACTGGCAGGTGTATTCAGTCTTCATTCTCAGCTGATGAAAACATGCTAACAAAGTAAGTTTTATTCTTCTTCTATAGAGATTATGTCGTATGAATCAAATGTATTACTTACCCAAAAATAGCTGGGGTCTTCATGTTCTTAAACTGTAACTCTGCTTATGTGCAACTAATAGGATAATTTAGGCTACAACAATCATATTGAAGCTCAAATACCTTTATTGCTTCAGTTTTATTGATAGAAAATTGGAAATCTATTAAAAAAATTACATGTGAATCCAGCATTCAAATCCCCATCACTTCTGATGATGTCCTACTGGAGTACAGTGCTCAACCAAATATAATTTCTCAAATCCTAAAGGTTTCCAATATACAGAACAACAATGAATGAATGAAGCAGAACCATTGTTCGATATATTGGAAATCTTTATTTGGAATAGAGAAATTATGAGTGGTCAACCAGTAGGACATAATCAGAATTGACGGGCCTGTATCAATAAAATAAATATTATCAATTAAATAAATATAATCAGAATTGACGTTCCTGTAACAATAAAATAAATCATATCAATTAAATAAATATAATCAGAATTGACGGGCCTGTATCAATAAAATAATTATTTTTGTAAATATCTGAGCCTCAAGATGAATGTTGCACCTTAAAAGTCTTTAATGTAATTAATTTAATTTCAGTAAAAACCTTAAGTTAATTTTTGCTTGCTGTTCTATATGTTTTTGGTATATGGAACACCCTTGAAGGGTAGGATTTTCTGCAGTTCACATTATAACTACCTTATGTGATGGATTTATTACATATTTAAGATGTTTCTAAGTGGTGTTCGTTGACAGTCTTGTTCTGTTATGCCTATTCAGGAGGTATTCACTGTGCCCAGTCAGAATGTCCACATTCTACTTGCAGCCTTGAAACCTTTCTTTAGCTGTCTGCCGTTATCTAGGAATTAAATTTGAATTTGTACGTAGACGTGCTGTGTTTTTAAATACATTCAATTTCTACTTTTATGACAAAGCTAATGATCTCATTACCTTGCCAAACCCTACCAAATGGCAGAAGACGGACATGGAATGAACCAAGCAAGCTATGCTGACAATTTTAGCATGCCTTGCGTTGATCAGGCAAGGACTGCGCCAAGTAGGTCATCACATGGGAATGGCGATCCGCGTCTGCATTCGTCAGTCGCGCTTGTAGCTACAAGCGGAAGTGTTCGAAACTTTGTAAGGAGAAAAGGAGAACAAGCTTGTTTTTAAGAATTCTGCACATAGAAACTTAAAATGTGATGCAAGAAAAAAGACCAAGTGGTCCATCAAGTCTGCCCCTTTTTTGATCATTTGGGGTTTGTTTGTTTGACCATTTTTCAAAATATTTATATATATGTTTATCCCATTTTGAATATTTTTTGTTTGTTAACCTTTTTTCTAAGTATAGATCTATATTTATATTTTTTGTTTGTTTTTTTTAAACCTTTTTGTTTGAGTATAGATCTATATTTATCCCAGGTATAGACCTTTGTTTATCCCAAGCACATACCATCAGCCAGTACATTATGGCATGTCCCAGTGACACATGAACCATCATTATATTTCATTGGTCAAAGTTCTCAAATGGATACTGGGTTTTTATCAATCTCACAAACCACGGCTGGACACATCCATTTTGCAAGTGCCAGGGTTCTGTAATGACTTTTTGAGCCTTAACTGAAACCTTATTATACCAATATTCCTGGTGTGAGAACCCGTATTTGTTAAACAGTGACCGACACCTTCAGCTGTCTGTTTGTAGCAGTGCACTGGCTAGCAGGTCTTATGAATGCACATCAAGACCCGCAAAGTGCAACAGTCACCATCGATGGGGCAACTTTTACCATCATCATTGGAATTTGTGAACGAAAATTGAATTAGACTGTTAATGTTATGGTGGTCAAACATGGCAAGATCATTTGATGACAAAAGGATTGTTAACTGCCTACTATGACAATTGACCATGCATCGAGCGTGCCCGTGAGTTCTCATATTTGTCTCAAAATATTTTTGCTTTATATAGAATGCCAACACCAGGCAAATTAATACGGAATTCAGGAGTCAATCCTGGAGTCAGCGGGATTTTTTGTTTAGGGGCTCCATTGACAACAATTAGAGAAAATCTCAAAAGTTGGACACCAGCTGTAAGTTTTAAGGAGCATTGGCTACCTGGTTCCCGGGATTTGTCCATCACTGACCTACAGTATATACATTTCCATATAAAGGACCTTTCCTTGTTTTGCAGATCAGTTTTTTCCCCAAATATTTTTATGCTTGCAAGCTTTCTTCCACCAGTTCTACAGACTTTCACAGAAGGACCAAACATGGCCCTCAAGTTTTACCTTGTGGCCCTATAGAGCAACAGGATTTTAGTGGGAACCTCCTTGTGTGTGTCAATTGATATTTAGCACCCCTCGTACTTTGTTTATTGATTGTCAGTACCCCTAAAAGTGTACAATATGGTTTCTAAGCAACCCAGTAGATTTTATTTAAATAACTGCAGCGAGTCTGCTTCAGTATACTTCCATTAAGGTCTACTCTTGTCTGAAACTTGACCTGGTTTTACCTGGTTGACCTGGTTCTACCTGTTCTACTTTTTGGGGAGTTGATCATTTTCTGGAGCAAGTTCCAACTTTCTGGAAGATTTCTACAAGATTATGGACTTATATCAGTGCTCATTCATTCCATAGAATTAACTTGTGATATGCAAAACACTTTGCTGTGTACGGACAGAAATGTGTTACATCTAAGTGTACATGTTTCTCCTCTATGGTAGAACGCTGTGGCTGACCATTGAAGGCCCTATTCCCTAAACTGGGTGAAATAACAACTGTCTGTGATGCCCAACAATAAGCTTGTTTCTTGCATTCAGTCGTCTGTCATTTTCTGGCAGGGCTTTGAGTCTCGTTGCTTGCTGTGACCCAAACAGAAACCATTTATTTCAGAGGCGTTGATAGAGGAGCTGATTTTTTGTGTGTATTGTAATGTAATGTAATCTTTGCACAAACAATCATGTTCTGTAGCGGTCACACTTAACTGTACCGAGAACTGTGTACTTCATATACAGGCCACAGATGGGCCAATTGTCTGCCAGGAACGGCAAAGATTTGCGTATCCCTTGCATGTATAAAATGGAAACAAATGTGTGGCATTGTTGGAAAGCATGTTGCAAAGCTAGCAAGTATCTGAGAGTCAGAGTTTGCCAAAATAGTGTAACAGGGCAAATGACAAAATTGTGAATGCCTACACTTTAGGAAATTATATAAGGTACGATAAATGTAACAAGGCCGTACAAGTTGCTAAAAACCCAAGCAGCCAATTAACTTTCAGCTTATTGCAGCCACAAAATATAATAATAATAATAATAATAAATAGTATTATTATTATTGTTATTATTTTTATTATCATTATTATAAAAAAAATAATAATAATAACAATGTTTAACTGTCGCTTAGAATACAATGGAACAGTCCCATATTTGTTCTTAGTATGCCATGCATAGTGGGACTAAAGAGGCTGTGTGTGAACTAGGCCTATTCACAAGACTATACGTATAACTGACTGCAATAGGTTACAGAAATTTAATTTATTGTATTGTCTGCAACCTATTGCCTGTAAATCATAGAAATTAAATTGGTGAATTTGTAAGGAATACCTTTGTGCCTCTATATTCTATATATTTATAATGCGGGATGTTAGCTGATTTACTAGGATCGTTGTGTATATCAGTTCCTCTTGTTACATTGTCCAAATTATATACAAATCCAAGAGGGATGGTAGGAGCCCTTAAAAATGGGCACAGCGGGTGTACAGAACTCAACACACGGGCCTCATTAATAGAGTCCCAGAGAGATAGAAGAAATTTCAGATAATTTAACTCTCCGGTATCTGCCAAAAACAGGAATGCCAGTTTTAAGTGGACTGACCGTTTAAGATTACGGGTTGCTACCAAACCAGATGCTAACTATATTAAAGTACCCTCGTCACAACAGAATACAGGTGGTGTGTTCTGGACCCCGGAAACGTGTTGACTAGGGCTAGCTCCTTGAATGTCTCCCTGACCCTAATGGAATAAAGTTGTACCTGTTCTCGTTTAAATGGTGCTTCAATGCCTACATCTACTGTGTTCCCTTTAAGATTAAAAAAAGGGTCACTTGGGCAGATGTCAGATGCCAGATTGCCGTTACCAACTATAAAACAATCCATATGAAAGTGTGAACCAATGAACGCGCAAATTTACACCACGGCATCCGACACTTTGCATTGTACTTGGTGATGTAAGGCTTGGATGCAGCTGCTTGGCCATGGAAACCCATTCCATGAAGCTCTCTACGCACTGTTGTTGTGCCAATCTGAAGGCCACACGACGTTTGGAGGTCTGTAGCTATTGACTCTGCAGACAGTTGGCGACTTCTGCGCACTGTGCGCTTCAGCATTCGCTGACCCCGCTCTGTCATTTTACGTGGCCTACCACTTCGTGGCTGAGTTACTGTTGTTTATAGTTGCTTCCACTTTGTTATAATACCACTAACCGTTGACCGTGGAATATTTAGTAGCAAGGAAATTTCGTGGAACATCTGAATCCAATGATTTTGAGGGGTGTATATACTGTATATACTGTATATA